TGGAGAGGAGACTCCATCCAGTGAGATTCCTCCTTGGGAATTGGAGCTGACTCTCTCCACTGAGAGGAGACTCCTTGGGAATCAGAACTGACTCCTTCCATGGAAAGGAGACTCCCTCCTCTGAGATTCCTCTCTGGGAATAAGAACTGACACCCTCCACCCAGAGGAGACTCCATCTACTGAGACTCCTCCTTGGGAATCAGAACTGATCCCTCCATGGAAAGGAGACTCCCTCCTCTGAGATTCCTTCTTGGGAATCAGAACTGACTCCCTCCACTCTGACAGGAGACTCCCTCCACTGGGGTTTCTCTTAGGGAATCAGAACTGATCCCTCCACTGAGGTTCCTCCTTGGGAATCAGACCTGATCCCTCCACCCAGAGCAGACCTGCCTGGTGGCAGCCCCAGCCTCTCCCCTGCTGCTCCAGGAGCTGGCTCAGGACCAGGGGCTCCCCAAGGCCGGAGCAGCTCCGTCCTGGTCACTCAGCTCCGGGTTCCCACGGAGCCAAACCCCCCAGGAGCACCAACGAGTGTCCAGCTGGGGCCATCCCGGCGGGATCCCACCCCAGGGACACGGAGCCCCTCTCACATCAGTCTCCAGCAGGTTGTGCATGCTGGTCTCTGCCACCTCCTTGGACTCCTCGAACTTCTCCATGGCCTGTCGGAGCTCCTCGTCCGGGATCTTCCCCTGGCGCTTCTTCTTGTAGTCGAAGTCCAGGCGCCGCCCTTCCAGCTTCTTCAGGTGGTGCTGGGGGTGGGATGGCATGGCATGGCATGAGCAGGGAAGCAGCAGGAGCTGGGAGCAGCCAGCCTCTCCTGGGAGCAGCTCCAGGCTGAGCTCCTTCACCTCCAAACTCTGATCTCGGAGCATCTGCTCCCGGCGCTCCCATGGAATGGGGGAACGATTCCAGCCCCTTCCCACCGAGGGAAACACTGCAGGAGCAGCCCCACATTTGGGAAGATGAAGAACTGTCCTGCTGGGGATGAGATGGGATGGGATGAGCAGGGAAGCNGATGGGATGGGATGAGCAGGGAAGCAGGAGGAGCTGGGAGCAGCCAGGCTCTCCTGGGAGCAGCTCAGCTCCACTTCCAGGCTGAGCTCCTTTGCTCCTGGCGCTCCCATGGAATGGGGGAATGATTCCAGCCCCTTCCCACTGAGGGAAACACCCCAGGCTGTGCCCCACATTGGGGAAGGTGAAGACCTGTCCTGCTGCTTCCAGCTCCTCAGGACCTCCAGGGATCTCTGGAGATCAGGAATGTGGGCTCTGGGTGTTGCATTCCCGGGCTCTGAGGGTAGGAATGTTTTATCCTCATGGAATTGGGGGATGGAGGAGCACTGAGGCAGAAAATGGGGGGTTATGTTACCTGGGGCACCACTGGGAGTGAAAATTCACTCAAGAGAGCTGCCTTGGGAATGAGGGGTTGGGACAGATCCCATTCCAGAGCCTGGCTGTGCTTTGCATGGATCTGCACTCCGGAGTTCTGTGTCCCCCTGTGAGGCACCAAAGGGCTTTCCCGGGATGCTGAGGCCTGGAGGGGGGGATTGCTCAGGGCTTGAAGCCCAAACTGGGAGCTCCCAGCACAAGGAACCGGATTCAGCAAGGCCAGAAGGTGTTTTGGGATGTTTTGGGAACCATTCCAAGCTGCATCCAGCCTGCTCAGGAGCAGCAGGAGGGAGAAAACACCCAGTGCAGGGAATTCCTGCCAGCCCTTGGATCCCACCTTGGAAAGCAGAGAGAGCAGGAGGAGGAGGAGGAAAAATCTCCCCCTGGAGGTGGGATTTACCTGGATCTCCTTCAGGTCTTTGTCACAGAGGTTCTGCAGGGGATCAATAAAGTTCTGTTTGACCTCGATGTCCAGGGAATCCTTCACCTCAGCCAGGCGCTTCATGGACTCACCCGCGTCCAGCAGAGCGTCGCCTGCCCGGGAAAACAGGGAGACAGGGAGACAGGGAAAACAGGGAGAGGGAAAACAGGGAGGGAGGGAAAACAGGGAGGGAGGGAGAGGAAGGAGGGGAGAGAGAAGAAGGAGAGAAGGGAGAGGAAGGAGGGGAGGTTGAGGAGGGAGGGAAGGGAGAAGGAGGGAAGGGAGATGAGGGAGGGAAGGGCGAGGAAGGAGGGAGGGAGAAGAAGTAGGGATGGGAGAGGAAGGAAGGAAGGGAGAAGAAGGAGGGAAGGGAGAAGAGGGAGGGATGGGAGAGGAAGGAGAGAAGGGAGAGGAAGGAGGGAGGGAGAGGAAGGAGGGGAGGGAGAGGAAGGAGAGATGGGAGAGGAAGGAAGGAAGAGAGAGGAAGGAGGGGAGGGAGAGGAAGGAGAGATGGGAGAGGAGGGAGAAGGAGGGAGGGGAGACGAGGGAGGGAAGGGAGAGGAAGAGGGGAGGGAGAGGAAAGAGGGATGGGGAGGAAGGAGGGAGGGATGGGGGAGGAAGGAGGGAGGGAGAGAAAGGAGGGAAGGGAGAAGGAGGGAAGGGAGAGGAAGGAGGAGATGGAGAGGAAGGAAGGAGGGAGAGGAAGGAGTTAATCAGAGGAAGGAGTTAAGCAGAGCCCGAAAGCAGGGGCTGCAGAAGAGCCTTTGTGTGTGTGGGAATCACAATCCCAGCCTGGTCTGGGTTGGAAAGGACCTCAAAGCTCCTCCAGTCCCAGGGGCAGGGACACCCCCCACACCTCCCACACCTCCCACCAGCCCAGAGAGCTCCAAACCCCTTCCAACCAACTCTGCCCCCCTCCAACCTCCCACATTCCCTCTGGAATTCCCAACCCCCCAGCCTGGCACGGGGCTGGATCCACAGGGGG